TGCAAGATGTCTGGGCACGCTCCCTTAATGTGGAAGGCGCATAACGTCCTATTTTACAGGAAGTATTATGGATGTTAAACAATGCGTGGCTGTATTCTATCTGTTCTCTTTTAAAACGGGAGCATAAAATTAGTTATATTTTAATCTCTGTTGTATTTCATGTGAACATTTAATGTTACCAAAATTTCTGCTACATAATGCTAAGATCCTGAATCACTGGGCCCTGCTGTGGTCTCATCGTACTCACTCACAGAATAGTCGCTGAGTTGGAATTAACCGATAGCTGACTCCTTGCATTGGCTTTTTGAGGCTGGAGAGAGCAAGGAGGAGATCGCTCATCTCCCTCCCCAGGAGTGACTGACGGACAGGAAGCACAGGAGAGGCGTAGCACCTGGGTTAGGGGCACACCTCGCCGTGGGCCAGCCCCTGGGCCTGTGCTGGGTGCTCCTTCCTACAAACGTGGTTACAGTGAATATCATGGTATTTGCTTTCTTGCATTACTGACTATTTCTTGAGTATAAATTTCTAGAAATATTACTCTTGTTGTTATGTGCCATCGAGTCACTTGTGACTCATAGCAACCCTATGTAAAAGAGCCCTGAACCCCGCTGTGTCCTGTGTCAACCTTTTTGTCTCTGACACATCTACCCCCATTGCCCCAGTCACTGAATCAATCCATCTCATCAAGGGTCTTCCTCTCTCCTGAGCTGTCTCTCCACCCTCCTAAGCATGACGTCCCCTCTCCAAGAACCGATCCCTACTTGTAACATGCCCAAAGTATGTCAGACGGAGCTTCAGAATCCTTGCCTACAAGGAGCAGCCTGATTTCACCTTCTCCAGGACAAACTTGTTTGTTCTCTTAGCAGTCCATGGTGTATTCAACACCCTTCTCCAGCACCACAGCTCAAAAACATCCATTCTCTTTCTATCAACCCTATTCACTGTCCAACTCTCCAATGCATAGCACGTAATTGTGAAGACTATAGCCTGGATCAGACACACCTTAGTCTTTAGACTGACGTCGTTGCTCTTCAGTTCTCTAGAGAGGTGCCTGACAGCTAACTTTTCAATATAACTCATCTCTTGATTTCCTGGCTGCTGGTACCAAGCGTGTTGATTATAGAGCCAAGCAAACTAAAGCTGTTAACAATCTCAATCTCTTCATCATCCATACTGATGCTGCCAATTGGCCCAGTGGTGAGAATCTTTGTTTTCTTGATGTTGACCTTCAATCCATATTGAAGGCTTCAGTACTAGGTCAAAGAATATTACAGTGACTGCAGCAATGGGCTCGAGTGTGTCAGAGATTGTGAGGATGGCACAGGATAGGACAGGGCTCAGGTCTGTTGTCACTGGGTCTCTGTAAGTAACATAACAAAAATCTTATCAAGCATGCAGGATTGTGTCACCTGCATAACACCTGTTGTTGATGAGTCCAGTCCTGATGCCACATTCATCTTCATAGGTTCTAACTTCTCAAATGATTTCTTCAGCATCCAAATTAAAAGGAAAATGAAGAAAGAACACAACCCTAATGCACACCATTTCTGATTTTAAACATTGCAGTGTTCCCTCGCTCTGTTCACACATCAGTTCTTGGTCTAGGTATAGGTTTTATTATGAGCATAATTAAGTATCCTGGTATAACTCTAGGTACAGATAATCACAATTTGATATGAGTCACAAAGTCAAATGCCTTTGCCTAGTCAATAAAATACAAATAGACATTCTTCTGGTATTCTCTGCTTTCAACCACAAACCCACGTATCAGTAATAATAGCCCTGATGCCATAGCCTCATCTAAACCCAGCTTGAAGTTCTCTTTTGGGGTACTGTTCTAGCTATTTTTAAAAAATCTTCAGCAATATTTTGCTTACATATGATATTAATGATACTGTTCAATAATTTCCACATTCTGTTGACTCACCTTTCTTGGGAATGGCGACAAATCTGGATCTCTTCCAGTCCGTTGACCAAGCAGCTGTCCTCCAAATGTCCCAATGTAGACTGGTAAGCATGTCCAAGGATGCATCTGTTAGTTTAAACATGTCAGTTGTGACACTTCGATCCCTGGGCCTTATTTTTTTGCCAAAGCCTTCAGTGAAGTTCGAACCTTCATTAACAATGGATCTTGGTTATATGGTACTTCCTGAAATAGTTCAGTGTTGACCAATTCTTTTCGGTATTGTGATTCTATGTATTGTTTCCATTTTCTTTTGGTGCTTTCTGCATAATTCAAGATTTTGCCCATAGCGTCTCTCAGTATTGCTACTTAAGACTTGATATCCACCACCCCCCCACCCCCACCCCCGGTTCTTGCAACCTGAGAAATGCTCGGCATGTGCTTCCCTTTTTGTTATCCAATTCCAGCTCTTTGCACATTGTACTATAATATTTTGCTTTGTCTTCTTGAGCTGCCCTTTGAACTCTTCAGTTTACCTCTTTTACTTCAGCATTTCTTCTCGTTTTAGCTTCTCCATGTGCTAGTGCAATTTTCAGAGTCTCTTCTGACGTTTATTTTGGTTTTTTCTTTCTCTTTAGTCTTTGTAATGATCTTTTGCTCTCTCTTCATAGGCGATATCTTTGATATCATCTCACAATTTATCTGGTCTTCAGTGCTTAGTGTTCAGTGCCACAAACCTGCTCTTGATACGATTTTTAATTCAAGTGGTATAGACTAAAGGTTGTATTTCAGTTCTCACTGACTTATTTTCATTTTCTTCAGCTTCAATTTGGACTTGCATATTAATAATTGATGGTCTGTTCAACAATTAGCACCTAACTTTGTTTTTTTGACTACTACTACTATTGAGCTTCTCCAATGATTTGTTCTAATATTTGCTTTCCCATCACAATAATTATTAGTGCATGTTGATTGGATTAGTGCCTCAAAGTTGCGTTAATAATTGAATTTTTGTTGTTGTTGGGTGCCCTTGAGTATGATTCATAGTGACCCTATGAACAGTGGATCTGAACTCTGACTTATCCTGTGCCATCTTCATACTTCCTGACCCAGGAAGCCTTATCATCCTTGCCTCCTAAGATCACTCTGGCTCCGCCCTCTCTAAGATACATTTATTTGTTCTTATGGTAACTAGTTATTAATGCAACTTTGCTTACTGAAAGTGAGGAGGACTTGAAACACTTGCTACAGATCAAAGACTACAGCCTTTATATGGATTAAATCTCAACAGCAAGAAGGCAATCAATCCTCGCCACTGGGCTGAAAGACAGCATCAGGATACATGGAGAAAAGATTGAAATGGCCAGTTGTTTAAAGTCAGCTGTCAGGGACCTCTCCAAATTACTGAGAAGCAGTGATGTCTGTTTGGAGGCCACAGTCTTTTCAGTCACTTGCTATGCATCTAAGAGCTGGACAGTGAATAACAATGACAGAAAAGGAATTGATGCTTTTGAGCTGTGGTGTTGGAGAAGAATACTAAATATCCCGTGGACAGCCAAAAGAACCAATAGATGTCTTGGAGAAGGTGCAGCCAGAGTGCTCCTTGGAGGCAAAAATGGTAAAGCTTTGTCTTTCATACTTTGGGCAGGTTGCTAAGAAAGGCTATTCCTTGGAAGGGGATGTCACGCTTGAAAAGGTGGAAGGTCAAAGGATGATGCTCAAAGAGATGGATTGACACCGATTTCAAAAGTGGGCTCAAATGTGTCAGAGATGATGACGATGGCACAGGATAGGGCAGGGCTCAGATCTGTTGCTCATCAGATAAGGTGTCAGTGTAAAATTAGCTTTCTTAGCCATTAATTACCTTAGCCCTCTCTGGGCTCCAGCTAGTTTAATTGCAGACACATGGTCTTGCAAATCATCAGCACCTGTGTGACTAGGTAGAGCACGAGAGAGCGAGAGAGAGCAAGAGAAAGCGAGAGATAGAGCGAGAGAGAGGGAGAGAGAGAGAGATAGAGCGAGAGAGAGGGAGAGAGAGAGCGTGAGGGAAGGAGGAGAAGGGGAGGGGGAGAAAGGGCGGGGAGTGGGAGGGGAGGGGACTTTCCCACACTGAGCAGCAAGGCTTGAAGGAGACTGGAGCAACTCTGTTGAGAGTGAGACCTGTGGCACTGCTGTGGAAAATCTGTGGAAGGTTGTAGGCAGAGGATCCCAGAGATAAAGGCCACAGTTAAGTGCTTTTTGCGGTTCTTGCTGGATGCTTGAAGGAGAAGCTGACATGTAACTGCTCTGAGGTGAACTTTACTCGATGATTTGGATTTGACTGCTGAACTGAAACCAGGACCTTTCCTGATTAAGGAATTGTGCTTTGCTGTTGAACTGACTTGGGACAGCTGGACTAAACCCTGGATTTGCATTGGGTGATATTCTTTGCCCCCTCTGCTCTCCAACTTACTTCCCTAATAAGTCCCATTCTCAGTACAACAGTGGATAAACGAACCTCTTGCTGCTGGTGTGACTCTAGAGGTCCCGTGGGGCTGGGCTGTGGGCTCTTTATCTGCTTTCTGCTCTGAGGCAGTGAGAGGCTGTGCTATTCTCACCCCCTCTAGTCCTTTCAGAGAGAAGCTCGTGGCCCTGTGCCCCCATGTCCCGTTTTCTGCTTGCGTGGCCTAGGGTCACTCTAAGTCATATTTAGCCCAATGGTAGCCACTGTAGCAACAACAACAATCTTATTAAAAGACCCTCGAAGGCAAAATACCATACAGAAAACTTGGATCAGGCTCCCTCTCCTTTTTCTAAAGTTTTGTCCAGGTTGACAGTCGGCTTGCTCGTCCCTGCATTCCCATAACCAAACATGCCTCTCACTCCTTCACTCTGCTCTCATTTAGTTTCTGGCTGATGGATTTTATTTAAAGAAGAAATGAAATGTGTGAGGTGAGCGTTTTTGTTTTCAGACTGGAGGGCAGCCTAACTTGTCCAAGGTTCCGAAGCCACTGGTTAATCAGGGACAAGCCAGGATCAGTCGGGTTCCTCCGCTTCGACAGCTCTGATGGTCTCTTGGCAATGTTCTTTATTAATATGCTTTCTTTTTCCTGATTAGGGAAGAAAAGGACCCCCCAGTCCAGGCGCTCGAGAACCTCTCCCGCAGGCCTGGGACTCGGTAAGGGCCGCCCTCTTCCTCTCTGGGAATGCCTTTCTGTAAGAGTGTCGTCACCCCTGGTGCAGACGTACAGTTCAGTAAAGCCCTGTGTGTTTGCACAGCAAGTAGAAGAAATTGTCCGGGTGGCAATCGCTAGGAGCCGACAGGCCTTTTACAACATCCTGCGGTGCTATGACCTGGGGGACACCGGCTACGTCAACCTGGCCGACTTCAAGAAACTGATGTGTACCTTCTGCCCAGTGCTAACGGGAGAGCAGCTACGAAAGTAAGTGTCTTGGTGACAAAATCAGTCCCTTCAGGTTCCTTCTCAAGCGTGTTGGGTAGTCTGAAGCCTTGCCCTGTTTCTTCCTTCATATTCCCGGGGACTGCTGAGAAGAGCTGCTGTCGATGAGGTTCTGGAGCGGCCTGTGGGTTCCCTGCTGCTCTTGCCACAGTCGTGGAAGATGTCCCTGTGGTCGGCCAACACTGAGTTGATCACAAGTCCCCAGGGTGGCACAGACAGGGTGGTGCTCCGCTATTAGCAAAGCCAAGGGAAGCCCTCCATGAGGCGGAGGGACGCACAGCCACGCCGCTGGACGCGTGCACACAGTGACCATGACATTACCACAGGCCTGCGATGACTCAATGGCAACGAACAACTGTAGCCAGACCACACGGGGCCAAAATAGAGAAAGGCTTTAGAGCGTGGGCTCTGGAGTCCTGCAGTCCAGGCTGGGCCCGAAGGCCTTGGCTGCAAAAAGGGAGGTTGGTGAAAGGTGACGTCAGGTACCACGGTGTGGTCGACTCACAGACAGCAAAGCACAATTCCTTAATCAGGAAAGGTCCTGGTTTCAGTTCAGCAGTCAAATCCAAATCATCGAGTAAAGTTCACCTCAGAGCAGTTACATGTCAGCTTCTCCTTCAAGCATCCAGCAAGAACCGCAAAAAGCACTTAACTGTGGCCTTTATCTCTGGGATCCTCTGCCTACAACCTTCCACAGATTTTCCACAGCAGTGCCACAGGTCTCACTCTCAACAGAGTTGCTCCAGTCTCCTTCAAGTCTTGCTGTTCAGTGTTTGTCTGGTGTCTTTATTCCTACAAACACTTGGCGGAGGCTGCTGGACCTACCTGTGGCTTGGGCCAGGTCAGGCTGGACCCAGGACGAGGTGGGACACAGATGGTTCCTGGCTTGAGTGCCTGCATCTCAGAGCTGCTGACTGAGACCAGAGATTGGGGACCACCAGTGTCAGGCGTGGCAGCAGACCTGCTTCAGAAGCTTCAACAGGGAGATAGCCTTGGTGACACATCACCATATAGAGTGATGGGTCACCCCCCCACCTCCGTCCCTGAGGTCCTGCTTGGTCCTGTCACAGATCTCTGGTCATTTGTGTGTGTGTGTGTGTGTGTGTGTGTGTGTGTGTGTGTGTGTGTGGTCTGTCACCCCACCAAGACCACGAAGGGTCTTTGTCTTTCCAGCCACACCTGCTCAGGCTTCTTGGGTGCTGAGGGTCTGGATACACGCCGTCCCGCAGACGAGGCGTGAGGGCTGTGGGGAGTTTGAGATGGAAGCTTCTCCAGGCCACTCTCCTGGCATCACCAGCCTTTACCTGTCTCAACTGCAAACCCAGTGCTGTTCACACCCCAAGTCCTTTAAAGCAGCCCAGTGGACAATGGTCATGCACTTGGCTACTGATAGAAAAGCTGGCTGTTCTCACCCACCAGCTGCTCGGCAGGATAGAAGACCAGGTGATTGGCTTCTGCAGTGATCACAGTCCAGGCTGTCCTCTGGGGTGCTTCTGCTGGGTCCCACAGGGTGTCATGGAGTGCACCGGACAGCGTACAGCACCAACAGTGACTCACAGAAGTTACAGCTCGCGCCGCTGAAGTCATGAGCCCAGCGGAAGGCTTGTAAAGAAACAAATGCAGGTCTCAACTAACAGTGAGTCGCAGAAGATACAGCTCACGCCGCTGAAGTCATGAGCCCAGCGGAAGGCTTGTAAAGAAACAAGTGAAATTCTCAATACGCGCCTGTCCACGCCCTCAGCCAACACCTTAGACATTGCTAGAAAACACACAAATGCCCAGCCACACACTCCACCTGCCGTCGGAGCGTTGATACCACCACACAGCACAGCCTCCAGAAAGGCCTGCGGCACCAGGGGCAGGAGGGTGAGCGTCGTCACCTGCTGCTGTCAGGTGGCCTCGGGGCTGTGCGTGGCCCCGTGTGTTTGCAGTGACCAACTTCCAGACGCTGAGCGCCGCTCCTTCTCGGCCAAAGTGCCTCTGGGTGGAATTGAACCAGCAGCTTTCCCGTGAACAGCCATGTCCATAACCATTTGTGCCACTCGAGGACTCCGAGGGCGCGTGAGATCTGAGTGCTGGAGTGAGGTGTCCTTGACCTTGCTGATGCCCAGAAGTGTCCCCAGAGGACCCCCGGGGTCACTGCCTGGGTCCCTGATGTGGGGCTGTGGGGCAGGCACAGGGCCACACCCATAACCGCCGTGCTGCACTGACTTGTAAATTTTAACGAGTGTGTGATTTTTTAAAATTCTCAGGCACTTTTGTTTACAAGTTTGTTTTCATTAGCACATCCAATTTTTATAATTAAGAAAATGTTAACAAACAAGATGTTATGAGAGAAAAGAGGCAAGCTCTGCATTGCTTTAAGACGGACCTTGCCATGCTGTCTGCACCTTTCTCTCAAACATCTGCACTCTGGAGGCCTACTGATAATGAACTGTGCTGTCAGCTCAAGGTACAGGGTTCAAATCCACCAGTCTCCTCCCGTGCCGTTTATAGCCTCTGAAAAGTCTCTTGAGGGTCAGCTGTGGCTTGGTTCCAACTTAACAGTACTCAACAACAACAACAACAACAACAGAGTTCCACTATAGATAGCCCTGTGGTTCTATACCCAAAATTCCAATTATAAAAGCACCTTTTCATGTCACATCGTTATCCAGTTATGTACAATAAATTTACATATGGACAGAATATTGAATGATCTAGGAAATACTAAAAGAAGGTGGAAAGAGTGTACGAAGTCACTGTGCCAAAAAGAAGTGGCTGACGCAGAAGAATTTCGAGAAACCACATACGATCAAGAGGCCATGGTGAGGAGTCCAGAGCAAAGGCTGCACAGTGGAGTGGACTTGGGGGAAGGGATTGTAATACAATGAAAAAATTTTTCTTTTACTTTTCAAAGAGAAGAGCGAACTGGGGGGAGGGGTGGGCAGGGAGAAAAGCACAACAGTGAATGGAAATGCAAAGTCTCTGTACATTTTCATTAAAATTAATAATAAAAGAAAAAAGGCAGTGGTGATGAAGGAGGAAGTGCAGGCTGCTCTAAAGGACTTCACAAGAAATAAGGCTCCAGAAATTGACGGAATACCAACATATTTCAACCAACAAATGCTGCCCTGGGCAAGCTCACTAGGTTGTGCCAAGAAATCTGGAGGACAAGTACCTGACCAACTGACTTGAAGAGATCTATATTTATTTCCATTCCCAAAAAAAGGTGACCTGACAGAGCATGAAAATTATCAAACAGTATCACTAATATCACACACTCGCAAAATCCTGCTGAAGAATATCCAGAAATGACCGGAACAGGACATTGACAGAGAACTACCAGAAATACAAGCTGGGTTTAGAAGTTGTGGCACTAGAGACATTATTGCTAATATCAGATGGATCTTGGCAGAAAGCAGGGAGTACCAGAGGAATGTGTATCTGTGTTTCATTGATTACGCAAAGGCTTTTGACTGTGTGGATCACAACAAACTGTGGCTGACTCTGAGAAGAATGGGAATCCCAGAACACTTGATTGTGCTCATGAAAAGCTTATACTCAGATCAGGAGGCAGTCATCAGAACAGAGCAGGGAAACACTGCATGGTTCAACATCAGCAAAGGAGTGCGTCAGGGACTCTGTTATACTTAAGTTTGCTATGGGCCAGAGGCTACTCGTCAGCACATAACAACAACATCCTCTCATAAAACTCACATCACAAGGCAGCAGGTGCTTCCATCTCCCTGAAAGCCTTCCCACCCTCCACCTCACCCCTACGTGACCCCTGTTCTCCTTTCTGTCACGAAGGGATGTTTTACATTTTTGAGGACTGTGTGTAGCAGGGTGCAAGTGAGAGGTCCCTTTTGTGGTCTGGCGTGATGACTCTGAGGTTTGTCCCCGTTACATGTGTCGAGGGCTCATTCCTTTTTTCCTGCTGACCAGGGTCTGTACGTGGGTCACCACAGCTGCAGTGTCCCTTCACCTGCTCACGGTTCTTTGATTTGTTCCTGGTTCTTGGCTATTATAAAGCTCACATGCATATTGCTGCATATCTTTGTGTCAACATTCACCTTCATTTCACTTGGCCAAATAGCAAGAAGTCCTGGTAGGGGAGGGCCTTTCTGACTGCTAACCAGCAGGTCGGTGGTTCAAGCCCACCAGCGGCTCTGAAGGAGATCAATGAGGAGTTCCCTCCCCTAAAGAGCCCCTGCCCTGGGAACCAGAAGGAGGGTTGCTGTGGATGGGAATCCTCTGGAAGGCACTGGCCTTTTGGAGATAAGCGGCAAGTAGTGGACTGGCTAGTTCCCGTGGCCGTTTGAATCAGTGGCAGGCTGGCTTGCGAAGCCACCACGCCCCTTCCATTCCCAGCCCCAGTGGACAAGAGCCACGCTGAACTCTGGGAGGAGTCAGTCCTCTCCGTTTGCACTGTTCTAACGAGTGTGCTTTCCTTCTTTCTAACCTTCAGACTCTGCAGTAAGTTTCTGGAGGTTTCTTCAGGAAGAGTCCTTTACAAGAGACTTTTGGCGAGCCTGGGAATTAATGACGTGCCTCCCACCTCTCCCGTTGCTGTCCCAAAGAAGCAGCCGTTAAGTGAGCGCGTTCAGAAAGACCAGCAGCTGTGGGTGGAGCCTTCCGAGAGGTACAGCAAACCCAAGGAGGGCCGTGCTGACGTCCCAGGGCCCGGGAGGCCTTCAGTCAATATTTGCTAGCTAAATGAGTATTTTAATATTTTATCATTTAAATAAGAAAGTCGGCACACTCTCCACAGTGATCAGACTCCACGTGTTCACTTTGGAAACCAAATTGCTAAAGTCCAGAAGAGTCAGGGACTTGGGCAGGCCATGCACCCACTCGGGGCTAAGCCTGGGCCGTGGCTCCAGAACCAGCCGCTCAGAGAGCCTGCACTTAAACAGTGACCCACCTGCCTTCCCATCGACGCTCCCCAGAAACTCAGACTTCCTGCCACCCTTAGTACTTACTACAAAACTCAGCCATTAAACTCCTCCTCACTCTCTAACTTGGATGATAGACTTATTAAAACGATTTCCAGACTAAATGGTAGTGATAAAACACAGTTAGTAGCGCTCTGAAAAGGCAGGCTAATGAATATTCTCGCTCCTGTTGCCTTTGAAAAATATAGACTTAGCCCAAGGTAAAGAGATTATTTTAACTTGCTTGTTGATCACATGTAATAAATCCACAAGCACAAGCGGAGTGTACAGCGACCCGCAGCCTCGTGGCCACATCCTTCTAGAAGCTTCTTAAGGGCAGAGGAATGGGGCGTTGCCGTGGTGTGCTGATGGACAGGACCGTCTGAGTGCTTCAGGAGAGCGCTTTATAAATGGGCAGGAAGCCGGTATTTTAAGAGAAAGGTTAACCGTCGCGTGAGATGCTAAGTCTGCCTCCTAAATCCAATGAAAGAGAAGTGACTATTAAGCGTTTCATCCAAGTAACTCCAGGACTCTGAGAGCACTCTGAGTGGAGGGGGACGGCAGGGAGCCCCTGTTCTGGGCCAGCTGGTGGCCGGGAGGTGTCTGCATGGAAAACAGAGCCCCAGCTCACGCACACACGCGTGTGCACACACACCCATGCACAGCGACACACTCAGGGATCACATACACACATACATGCTTGGGCTCGCCTTTGGGCACACCCACTGCCACCCTCAAATGCACGCACACGTGTGCACACACACGTCTACACGCTTTGGCACACTCCCATGCGCACACTCACATCGGGGCACTCACACTTGCTCGCACTCACGTGCCTTTATGTTGGAATTAGGCTATTAACACCTTGGAGTAACCAGGCCCCGCTTCTGCACTGGGCTTCTCGGTGATTCCTCTGTTGTTACCGTTGTTGGCAAGTGCCATCAAGTCACCTCCAGCTACAGTGGCCCTGTGAATGACACCCTGCCCTGTCCTCCGCCGTCCTCACACTGCCTGCTCTCCCCAGGCCCCTGTCACCTCGCTGTGTCAGTCATCCTCAATGAGGGCCGTCCTGACTCACTGGCCCTCCACTTTTCCAAGCACCATGTCCTTCTCCGGGGCTTGGGCCTCATGGTCACAGGTCCAGTGTATGTGAGACAAACTGCAGAGTGGCCAGTGACTTTCATTAAGAGCAGGATAAAGATTCCGACTTGAAATTCTCCCAGGTCACAGAACTAGCCCTATTGAGCTGCCAGCCACACCCCACATTCAGTCACATCAGAGCACCCCCACCCCGCCCTGCCTCTGCTGCCACGCTGCCTCCCTTCCCAACCTTGGGGCCACATTTAGACAAACCTCTTTTTCTTGCATGTCGCAAATACTGTGGTTTTGTTTTGTTTATTATTTCTTTATTCAAAGTTTGTGGTGATCTTGTGATCAAGTCTATTGTTGTCATGTGCCATCGACTTGGAACCGGGTCAGAGCTGACCCTCCAGTGGGTTTACAGAGGCAATAAATCGCACGAGAGAAGATTGCCCTTCCTCCCACAGAGTGGTCGGTGGATTTGAACCACATACCTTCATGATTTCAGGGCAGCTTCTTACCACTAGTCCACTCCCACAGCTCTGCTTGCTTCCTATTTCTGTGCCCTATTAGGCTCATTTTCACGCTATTTCAGACCTTTCCCATGTCATCTATATGCCACTTTTCTCTTCACTGAGAAACCCCAAAGTCATTCCATTTCAATGCTCACTTCACCGCGGGTCTAGCCCCAAGGCCTGGCCTGGCCTGGCCCATGGGAAGCTCTGACTTGCACAGCGACCCTGCAGGGGAGTGGGTGGCCCGGGCACTCTGTCCCTCCGTCTGTGTGAGCCTCTGCGTCCTCTCCAGGTAAGGGGATGCGGGCCCTCCTTGTATGGTTCAGCAGGACAGGAGGAGAGCGGTATGTGCGCCCAGCCTGCCTCTAAGTCCCTGCTTGCAATTTTAAATTTTAGAACTGCACCCACCAAAGAAGACAAACCTCTTGCCACCAAGAATCTGACCAAAGATGAAGTCAGTGAAAAGCTCAGAATTCTCATACAGCAGCGGGACCCAGCATTCCAAAAGTTGTTTCTTGACTTCAGTGAGGAGGCCACTGGGAAGATCAGGGAACGCAACCTCAGGAAGGTAGGCCTGAGCCGCCCCGACATTGCTCTTTGCCCCCCTTCAGGAGTGTGGTAGTTTGGGGTGATAACGTCCTCCAAGGACAGGGGTTACGTTTCCGGGAGCTGTTTCCCTTGGGAGAGAGCTGTCACTGTGGGTGTGGCGGGCTTTATAGTATCAGCTCTGAAGGCAGAAGCTTTTTCTGAAAGCAGAGGCACATACGTGCGGTGGCGCTGGTGCTCAGAGCCAGAGGGCAGAGCGAGCAAGAGACATGAGGACCCTGGGCTGCCCCTTGCCAGTCAGGGGCCCTCGTGGGCCTGGGGTTTGTTCCTCTAGAGAGTTTAAATTAAAAAACCAAACAAACCAAAATCCCAAAAACCCTTCCAAAAAAACCCACCACTTTAAAGTGAAACCTGGAAGGCAGACATGGGTGAGGCCGAAAGCTTGGGTGTGGGGGCCTGTGTTTGTATGGAGCTGACAAGTTCCCCCAGAAGGGAGACTGTGTGTGTGTGTGTGTGTGTGTGTGTGTGAGAGAGAGAGAGAGAGAGAGAGAGAGAGAGAGAGACAGAACTGACGGGTTCCCCCAGAAAGGACCACGCTTGAGCAACAACTCTCAGGCATGATCTTGAAACAGTAGCTTAGCATTCATGCTCCTGTTCTATTAGTAATCATTGCCAGCAATCCATTTAAGAAGAATATACTTGCAGAAACAGGAGGACCTGAAGTGCTTGCTGCAGAAGGTCAAGGACTGCAGCCTTCAGTATGGATTGAAGCTCAACATCAAGAAAACAAAGATTCTCACCACTGGGCCGATTGGCAGCATCATGATAGATGGTTAAGAGATTGAGATTGTTCACAGTTTTAGTTTGCTTGAATCCACAATCAACACTCTTGGTAACAGGAAATTTAAAAACTAATTGTTTAGGGAAAGTCTGCTGTCAAAAACCTCTCGAAAGTACTGAAGAGCAACGATGTCAGTCTGGAGACTAAGGTGTGACTGATCCAGGCCAAAGTCTTTGCAATTACTTGCTGTGCATCAGAGAGCTGGACAATGACTAGGGAGGATAGGAGGAGAATTAATATCTTTGAGCTGTGGTGCTGGAGAAGAGTATTGAATGTACCATGGACTGCTAAGAGAAAAACAAGTTCGTCCTGGAGAGGGTTAAACCAGGCTGCTCCTTGGAGGCAAGGATTCTGAGGCTTCGTCTGACATACTTTGGATATGTTGTAAGGAGAGACAGGTCTTTAGAGAGGGACATCATGCTTGGGAGGGTGGAAGGACGGCACAGGAGGGAAAGACCCTCTATAAGGTGGATTGATTCAGTGACTGGGGTAATCGGGGTTGGTGTGTCAGAGACAATAAGATTGGCACAGAATACAGGAGGGTTTAGGGCTATTGTACACAGGGTCACTATGAGTCACAAGCCACTCAACGGCACAGAACAACAACAACTAATTCCGGTCAGTGTGTCATGGTGTTCATGTGGACAGGTTCAGAAGGAGGCAGCGAGGGAACTCTGGTGCCACAGTGGTGAGGAGCTGTGCTGCCAAACTGGAAAGCACACAGTTCGAATCCACCAGCAGCTCTGTAGGCAAAAGACGGGCAGTCTGTCCTGTACAATGTACTGCCTCTGAAATCCCACTGGAGGGCCTGTTAGGAGTGGGTTCTGACTTGACGGCACACAACAACCACACAAAGAAAGTATAATTCCATTAGCACTACTGTTCGTCTATGGTGAAAGAGCCCTGGTGGCACCATAGTTAAAGCATTCCATTGCTGTCTATAACTGGGACGGTTCATGCCCAGCAGACCCTCCTGGAAAAGGTGAGCTGTCCGCTTCTGTAAGGACTATAGCATCGGCACTCCTGGGGGCGGCCCCCTGTTACATGGGCTCACTGCCAGTGACGGCAGGCCCCCTGTTACATGGACTCGGTGGCAGTGACGGCAGGCCCCCCGTTACATGGGCTCGCTGGCAGTGACGGCAGGCCCCCCGTTACATGGGCTCGCTGGCAGTGACGGCAGGCCCCCCGTTACATGGGCTCACTGGCAGTGACGGCAGGCCCCCTGTACATGAGCTGCTAGCAGTGAGGTTGGAGCCCGACGCTGGGCCTTAATAGTAAGACCAGAGGGCCTGCTGATCTCCTCAGACCTCTTAGCAGGACTATGGCAGCCGGCCGGGAGGCAGGCCAGGGCTGGGAGGCAGGAGGCTGAGGACGGGAGGCAGACTGGGGCAGGGAGGCAGCAGGCAGGTGTTGGAGTCAGGAGACCAGGGCCAGGAGGCAGCAGGCCAGTGTTGGAGGCAGGCCGGGGCTGTAGGGGCAGTGAAGCGGTTAGAGAGCCGCTGAGCAGCCTACCTGTAAACCCCTTCCCCAGGGACAGCAGGTGGAAGCCCTGCCCGAGCCTGGGCCGCCCCACAGTCTCTGCTGTCACAGCATCGGTGACAGTCGGTGAACCCAGTTGATGACATCTGAAAACAAAAACAAAGTGCTCCCCTAAACATTTGCTGTGTCCGGGGGAGGCCGAGGAGGGTCGAGTCGAGAGATATTTCGATGTGTGAAGGGGGCAGGAGACAGGAGATTCGGGATGAGGATAAACAGAGAGTCGGATGGGGGAAGATTGGAGGATGGTTCTGGCTGTTTGGGGGCTTCAGGTGGTCGTCAGTGACCTTGACAAGGGCGGTTCCTGTGCACGCGGTGCCGGAGCAAGCCGAATGCAGTGAGTTAAAAAGAAACAAGACAAAGCATCTTCCCCAGGCCCTTGCCTCTCCTCTGCAGGAAGTCTGGTCTAGATTTTGTTATTGTTAGGTACCATCAAGCCAGTTCTGACCCACGTTGTTGTTGAGAACCATCAAGTTGGAGCCGACCGAGCTGTCCCTCCGGTGGGGTGTCAGAGACAGTTAGTCACACGGGGCGAGGTGGCCTGTCCTTGTCCCTGCGGAGCCGCAGATGGACTTGAACCGTGTGCCTTCAGGATTGCAGCGCAGCTAAAGATGACAGAACAAGACACCGCCCAGCCCAGTGCCAGGCTCCCTGTCACTGGTTTGCACGCATTGTCACAGCCCTGTGTCAATCCATCCAGACAAAAGACGGACGGTTTTCCTCTTCCTCATGGACCCTCCACTTTATACCCTTCTTCAGTGACTGCTCCCTCCTGAGAACACGCCCCAAATAGGTGAGCCACACTGTCCTGTCCACAGCTGTGCTTCTAAGGAGCATTCTGCCCTCCTTCTTCCCCAGGCAGGCGTGTTCGCCCATGTGTAAGTCCACAGTGTACCCAGTGATTTTCACCCAGGTATCAGGTCTTGTGGACCAGCTCACCTGGCACAACTGAGGTGCATGTTGACTCTGAGAAAATCTCCTTTCTTGCCTCCCCACCTCACCTGAGAACACCCTCAGAAAAGTCAGCTTGTAGCAGGGCTTGTATCTTAACAGCTTTTTATGCTACCAGTGTGACAGTAGGGAATTCTGTCAGCACAATAATCAAGACATTTGTTAAGCAAAAGCTCAGTGGTTCAAATCCATCAGCAACCCCATAGGAGAAGGTGGCAGTCTGTGTAGACGAGGATTTGCTCCCTGTCCTATGGTCACAGTGAGTGAGAACTGGCATATGACAGTGGGCGCTACCCTGGAGGTTGGTGGTTCACATGCACACAGCAGCACTGTGGGGAGGCCTGGCAGGGTCAGTGAAGATCACGGGCAGGGAGCCCTGTGGAGACCAGCCTGTGGTCTTCCAGGACAGCGCAAGAGAGGAGCTGGAGATTGTTCCTGGCCAGGTGGATGGTAAGGGGTGGATGGTTCCTCAGGAACAAAGGAATCTTTGGAGTCAACTCCTCTAGACTGTTAAGTAGAATCCACAGTCGTACCAGCGATAGTAATGATAACAGAAAAACTCTAATGATGGTGCTGATGGTGGTCATGGTCCTGAGGGTGATGGAGGTGATGGAGGTCATGGTCCTGAGGGTGATGGAGGTTATGGAGGTCACGGTCCTGAGGGTGACGGAGGTGATGGAGGTCACGGTCCTAAGGGTCACGGAGGTGATGGAGGTCACGGTCCTGAGGGTGACGGA